TCAACTATTCGTGCACGTCCGTCAATTTATTCGAGTTCCTTTATAGTTAACGTACTTGCAACTAAAGCTATTTACACAATAAATAAGTTCTATACAAGTAAATTATAAACAAATAATAGTTTTATTGATTAAAATATAGAAATTAAAATAAAATAAAATATTATATTTTCCTTTTGACTGAAAAAATATGATAAAATAACTTGTTTAAAGATATTTGGGGAACGTGAGACTAGTATCCAATTACCATCTTTCTGGATAAACCAATGGACGTGTTCGTTAATATACCAGTCTTGCTCCACTGCACAGAACTCAAAAATCCAGAGTGAAATTATTCAGAGATTTTTCTCGGAATTTTTCATCAAAATGAAGATTATGAATATCTCCCATAGACATTCAGTAATTCCATCTAAATTCCAGAATCATAATATCAAGAATGTCTTCAAATTCAAAACCCGTAATTCCTTTCCCCACAGTTTTCTTATCTGCGCTTCACACAGTCACAAAAATGGCAGCACATTCACAATCTCTTGTAAGCTCAAAACCTCTAAGAACGATATTGATAAGAAGAGCATGGACAAGAGTTTACAAACCAAGATTGTGGTGCCTGAGCTGGATGGAGCACCGTCGCTTTCCAGGGCGGAGGAGGAGCGGGGAAGCGGTGCTCCAGTGAAGCCACCGCCGCTGTCCAGTAAGAAAAATGTTTTGGGGTTGTTGAAGGGGTTGCCCAGAAGGATTTTGGCGGTTCTTTCTAATTTGCCTCTGGCTATTGCTGAGATGTTTGTTGTGGCTGCGTTAATGGCCTTAGGTAGTGTACATTCCAATCTTCTATTTAAATTAAGAATAGATTTTCAAATCATTTCTCAATTTCTTGTTTCTATTTTATTTGTTTCTTCTGATGGGATTATTAATTGTGTTGTATTCTTCACGAAAAATGACCAAGAGAAAAAAAAAAAAAAGAAGGAATGAGTATGCCATTGGCAGTCTGTGTACGAATATATTACACAAGTACTTGACCTTTGTTTCTCTCGTTTTAGCTTAGCACTAGTTTATGTTGTGAAGGTGAAAAAAGTACAAGAAAGATTATATATAAAGCACGTTTGGGTGTCCTTAAAAGCACCTTTCGGAGTAGTGCAACAGTGAATGAGCTTGTACAAATTTGCTCGTGCAGCCCATTTTTGTAGTTGATGAGTGAAAAAAAAAAAAAAAGAAAAAGAAAAACTAAAAGGAAAAAGGTTGTTAATTTGGATCGAAATTGCTGGCATACAAAGGAGGGAATAATGACCCGTTTTGTACTGGTGGATAGGCATCTTCTAACTTTTGATTAAAATCGTTATCAATTAAAATGATTAATAATGTTAATATCAGCGAGGAAAGTGTAGCATTATTTCAACTTTTTATGATGGGATGGATTGAATAACCTAAATCAGTTTAGACTAGCTTGTATTGTTATCCTTTAATGAAATAAGAAGCAAAAAACTAGGCATCCTTGCATGGTTTAATGCATATTTAGATTAAACCAGCTTGTAATGTTGTCATGTAATGAATAAGAAAGGAAAATTTAGGCATTCTTTATATGGTTTAGTGCATTTGGCTTCATTATTGAACAAATAAATGATTGGTGGCATCTGTATTTGGTGTGACTGTGTTAAAGTACATACAAAGGCTATACAATTAGCTGATCAATACTCTCTAATGCAGCCGTGTGTACTGGAATATCCATGCCTTAGGTTGTGAGCTGATTGTGCATTTATGAGACCACAAAGATTGTCGTAACCATATTGATTCTTCACGTGCAATTGTTTCTCTCTTGCTTGCTCACTACTCCAGCATATATATTGCTGCCACTGTAACTATGTACAATTATTAAGAATTAAAACTTATCTTCTTCTTCTTCTACCATTAAGCTCTCAGTTCGACTTTCCTTTGAAACTCTAACTTGGTATCAGAGCCATCAATAGCTAACACTGGATCAAACGACAATGTACAATCACCACAACCAACTTCTAGCACACTGATGCCTTCAATGATGGGAGGAAATCAGATGCCATCACTTGGGAAAAGCCTAACTCAAGTTCCACCAGTGAGGCTTGACAGAAATAATTTTCTGTCGTGGAAGAATATGGTGATGCCAATCATAAAATGACACAATCTGGAAGGTTTCATCACATGAACCACAAGCTGTCCAGCAGAGTTCCTAGCAACACAAACCACTGGTACGACTGGAGTCACAGTTGAAATGGCTCCTAATCCTGAGCTTGGAAAGTGGATGTCAACTGATCAACTATTGATGGGTTGATTGTACTCATCAATGACGTCAGAAATTGCAATGAGAGTAATGGGATCATCCAAATCCTTTGATCTCTGGAATGCTGTTCAGGAAAGTTTTGGAGCAATGAACAAATCAAGGGTTACCTTCCTCGTTAGTGAACTTCAAAGAAATAGGAAAGGAGCGATGAGTGTTGATCAATATCTCAACACAATCAAATGGCTAGCAGATAACCTTGAAATTGCTGGTAAGATCATCTTCACAGTGATCTCGTCACTCAAGTGCTAGTTGGATTGGATGAAGAGTACATCCCTATAGTAGTTTAAATTAACAGCAGAGAGTTTATATCCTGGCATGAATTGCAGTGTGTGCTCATGACTTATGAGAGCAAAATTGAATACCTTAGCATTCTGAAAAACAATCTAGCCTCAGTCAACTTAAGTGAAGCCTCAGCTAATTTCATTCACAACTCATATACTAACGGAGGAAGAAGGTTTGGCTGTGGTGGAAGAAGTAACAACTACAAGGGAGGCAGAAATAGAAGTAGAGGAGGCAGACAATTTGCAAGCAAAGGGGTTTGCCAAATCTGTGGGATAAACAACCATTCAGCAGCAAAATGCTTTAACCGTTATGATGAGAGGTATATGGGTACCAAGCCTGACCTTCACTATCAAAATAATACCTCAGAACCATCTGCTCTTATAGCCTCTTCTAAAACTGTGGCGGATCCAGCTTGATTTGCAGACTCAAGTGCTAGTAATCATGTCACGGCTGATAAGGGAAATCTGATTGAAGCACATGAATATGGTGGTAAGGAAACTCTTGCTGTTGGTAATGGTAACAATCTCCACATCTCTCACATTGGTGCAAATCACCTCAACCCACAAAACAACAAATCACTAGTTTTTAGTAATGTGCTGCTAGTTCCTTCAATCAAGAAAAATCAATTAACTGTTTCACAATTAACATCTGACAATGGTGTATTTATGGAATTTCATTCTAATTTTTGTGTTTTTAAGGACAAAGAGACGAACGAGGTGCTGCTGGAAGGGAGAATTAAGGATGGACTGTATCAGATTGAACTCCTAGATCAAGTTAACAGGCTTCCTTTCTCAAAGTCAGTTCACTCAAATAAGTCTAACTCTTCAGCTTTTGTCGTTCAGTCCAATAGTGCCACATAGTATAAGTCTAATTTGAAATTATGGCACATGAGGCTTGGACATCCTTCAGGTTTCGTGATGTCTCAAGTGCTTAAACTCTGTAATGAAAAATTCGATATGAATGAAGTTAAGCCTTTTTGTGATGCTTGTAAACTTGGCAAAGCACATTCCATACCTTTTAAACTTTCTACTTCACACTCATCGGCCCCTCTTGACTTGATTCACACGGATGTTTGGGCTCTAGCATCCTTACAATCTACCTCTTGCTTTAAGTATTACATTCTATTCTTAGATGATTACAGTAGGTATACTTGGATATATCCTATGTGAACCAAATCAGAAGCCTTGAACTCCTTTATTCAATTTAAGAATCTAGTTGAAAACAAGTTTAACAGGAAAATTAAGACACTTCAAGCTGATTAGGGAGGAGAGTTCAGAGCATTTACTGAATTAACTCAACAATCAGGGATTGACGTGCGCTTTTCCTGTCCTTACACCTCCTCCCAAAATGGTAGAGCTGAAAGAAAACATCTACACATTACAGAAACTTGGCTGACTCTTCTTGCTCAAGCAAGCATGCCTTTACACTATTGGTGGGAGTCATTTCACACAGCCACTTACCTTATTAACAAATTACCTACACCAGTTCTCCAAATGAAGTTACCTTGTCAAGTTTTGAATTATGAGCAAACCAACTACAAGTCACTTAAAGTTTTTGGATGTGCTTGTTTTCCCCTTCTAAGACCTTATCAGCCTCATAAGTTCAGCTTTCACTCCACAAAATGTGTATTCCTTGACTTCAGCAATTCACATAAAGGCTACAAGTGTCTTAATTCAACTGGTAAAGTTTACCTCTCCAGGCATCTTCAATGAAAAGGAATTTCCATTTCAATCGGGTTTTCTCAATAAAAGTAGTCACTCACCTGAAACTGTTGTTCGATATCTACCACTTAACATTCCTCCTAATTTTGATCCTGCTTCCTCAACTGATACTCTTTGTGCTGATGCAACTCAACCAGCAGTACCTCAAAGTCCAAGTCCACTAGAGGCAGTTGAAATTGAGACACCAGAAGCAAATGAGAATGAACGTTCAGATACTAGACATGAATATATTGAAAGGGAAACTCAAGAAGGCACTGCAAGCATTGAGGCAGAGCAAACTGAGTTAAATATTGAGGCAAATCAAGAAGAGACAAAACTGAGAAGAGAGAATGTTGAGCACCCTATGATCACCAGAAGCAAATTTGGTATTTTCAAACCAAAAGTGTACAACACCCTTTGTAAAGAATACAAAATGGAACCAAGCAAGACTGAACCAAATGATGTTCTTGAAGCCTTGTCTAACAAGAACCGGAAAAGAGCTATGGAGGATGAGTACAAAGCCTTGATAAAGAACAAGACTTGGAAATTGGTACCACCTTTGGTCAATCAGAAGGTGATAGGAAACAAATAAGTATTCAGACTTAAACGTGACATTGAAGGGAAAATATTGAAGTATAAGGTAAAGCTTGTTGCAAAGGGGTTCTTACAAACCTCAGGTGTTGACTACCATGAAACATTTAGTCCAGTAATTAAGGCCTCTACTCTAAGAATAATCGTGTCAGTTGTTGTCTTAAAGGATTGGAGTGTTAGACAAGTTGATATTAACAATGTTTTCCTGAATGGAAAGCTAAATGAAGTAGTTTTTATGAAGCAGCTAGAAGACTTAACCCATCCTTTGTTTGTAGACTTGAAAAGGCTCTCTATGGACTCAAACAAACCCCAAGAGCATGGTATGACAACGTTAAAGGAACTCCCTTAGACTGGAAGTTTACCAAGTCCAAAGCAGATAGCTCATTGTTCTTTTATATGAATCAAAGGCAAGTAATTTTCTGCTTGGTGTATGTTGATGATATAGTAATCACTGGAAATGATCACAAAGTGCCGCAAGGCTTCATTGACAAACTCAACACACAGTTTGCACTAAAGGATATGGGTGAATTACATCCGTTCTTGGGAGTTGAAGTAAGGAGGTATGAATCAGGAATGTGTCTCACTCAGGTTAAGTACATTATGGACTTGCTGAAAAGATTTAACTTTGAGCTCCTTAAACCTTGTACAACGCCTATGATAGTGGGTAAGTGCATCTCCAAAAATGAAGGAGAGAAAATGGCAGACCCCTTCTTATACAGAAGTGCAATAGGTGGACTCCAATACCTTGCGCATACTCGACCTGATATAAGTTTTGCAGTAAATAAGTTAATTCAATTTTTACAAACTGCTTCAGATATTCATTGGAAGACAGTAAAGAGGGTCTCCAGATATCTAAAAGGCACAATTGAACAAGGGCTATAGATCTAAATGAGTGACAGATTGAACATCACGGAGTTTGTTGATGCTGATTGGGCGTCTTGTCCTGATGACAGAAAATCAGCAGCCGACTATTGTGCCTATCTAGGAGATACCTTGGTGGCTTGGTCTTCAAAGAAACAATAGGTGGTATCAAGATCAAGTGCTGAATCAAGATTACAGAGCACTGACACAAGCCTCTGCTGAGATAACTTGGGTTGAGTCACTGCTTAAAGAAACCAAATTGCAACCTGCTTCATCTCCCATTCTGTGGTGCGATAATCTGAGTGCTAGTGCATTAGCCTCTAATCCAGTTTATCATGCTGGAACTAAACACATTGAACTAGATATACACTTTGTTAGAGATAAAGTTTTTGAAGGGAAGTTGAAGATACAATACATCCCATCATCTGATCAAACCGCAGATTTGTTAAGCAAGCCGCTTGCTCATTCCTGGTTCTTGTTTCTTAAAGACAAGCTTGGAGTTAATGAATAAACTCCAGCTTGAGGGAGGATGTTAAAATACATACAAAAGGCTATACAATTAGCTGATCAATACTCGTCAATGCAGCCGTGTGTACTGGAATATTCACGCCTTAGGTTGTGAGTTGATTGTGCGTTTATGGGACCACAAAGATTGTTGTAACCGTATTGATTCTTCACATGCAATTGTTTCTCTCTGGCTCGCTCACTACTCCAGCATCTTATATATATTGCTGCCATTGTAACTCTTTACCATCATTAAGAATTAAAACTTATCTTCTTCTTCTACCATCAAGCTCTCAGTTCGGCTTTCCTTTGAAACTCTAACTGACTGTTGCCTTGATGCTGATAATTAGCCATGTGGTATAAAAGGAGATATCATGTCTTGTTACTTCAGTCTGCTTCGGCAATAATGCAAGTTCTTTTTCACATGTTTCCACTTGATGCATAATGGCATTGTATGTTTCTGAATCGTTGAAGGCACAATTATTGATCAAGGTGAGGCACCAGGATACTATTTTCAGAAATACCCCGAAGATAATCCTGTCCTCGGATTCTTCACATGGAGGTGGGTTCTCACGCTCGGCTTTGACCGCATGTTCTCATCTCCAGTATTCCTGGGAACATTGGCTCTTTTAGGAGCATCACTCATGGCGTGCACGTACACAACACAGATCCCCGTTCTGAAGGTAGCAAAAAGGTCTGGTTTTGTGTCTAATAAACTATGTTTGTTTGACTCTTTATTGTCCTTAAAGACACTTTAGTTGATAGTATGTGTCCCCGTTTGCAGATGGTCTTTCTTATATTCAACCGAGGCAATTCGTCGGCAGGAATATTCAGACACCTTGCCCAGAGCTTCACTTCAGGATTTGGGTATCATTTTAATGGGGGCCGGATATGAAGTATAATGTTTTATCCTTGTCCTTCTTTTATTTCTTTTGTTGCTCTTTACTTTATGTCTACACTTGGATCGAGTTGCAGTAACCACACATTTGGAATCTATATCCATATTTCCAGGCATTGCTCGTTTCAAATCTCCTTTCACTTTCTTATGTGTTGCAAAACCATGATAATTGGATATTTCCCCATTGTGTATAATTAGGTATTCTTGAAAGGGCCATCATTGTACGCCTTCAGGGGTTTGGCTGGTAGGTTTGCTCCTATTGGAGTACATTTAGCATTGTTGCTAGTAATGGCTGGTGGAGCTCTTAGTGCTACTGGGAGCTATAAAGGGTCAGTAACAGTGCCACAGGGTTTGAACTTTGTTATTGGAGATGTACTGGGGCCCAGTGGGTTTCTATCAACTCCTTCAGAATCTTTCAATACCGAAGTTCATGTCAATAGGTTCTACATGGACTATTATGACAGTGGAGAGGTAGGCATCCACGGTTTTACTATGACTTCTCAACATTGTTCGTTTAAGAGAAGTTCATCCATCATATGTTGTATCTTGTTGCTGTGTAATAGGTTTCTCAGTTTCATAGCGATCTGTCTCTGTTTGACTTTAATGGGAAGGAGGTAATGAGGAAGACAATAAGCGTCAATGATCCTTTAAGGTACGGTGGGATCACTATATACCAGACTGATTGGAGTTTGTCGGCATTACAAATAACGAAGGATGATGAAGGACCTTTTAATTTGGCTATGGCACCTCTAAAAATCAATGGGGACAAAAAGCTTTATGGAACTTTTCTGCCTGTCGGAGATGCTGATTCTCCTGATGTTAAGGGAATGTATGTGTCTTTTTTACTGTCTTAGATGTATAAACTAAATCTTGTCTGAAGTAAAGAAACTAGAAGTTCCACTTGAATGTGAGTTTAACACCTTTAACTTTTCCTTCTTTTTCTGATTGAGAATTCAGATCGATGCTAGCTCGTGACTTGCAATCAATTGTCCTATATGATCAAGAAGGAAAATTTGCAGGAGTCCGACGGCCAAATTCAAAGCTTCCAATTGACATTGATGGTTTTAAAATTGTTGTTGTAGATGCAATTGGTAGTACTGGCCTTGATTTAAAGGTGATGACAAAAGAATTTCGTTTGTGCCTTTGCTTTACTATTATGCATTCTTTCCTGATGATAAATTTTGCGCCTACTCAGACTGATCCTGGTGTGCCAATTGTTTACGCTGGTTTTGGTGCTCTAATGCTCACCACGTGTATCAGTTTTTTATCACATAGCCAGGTAAAAAATTCCCTTACATTGATCTGGGGTCTGGTTTTAAATTTATTAACCTATACAACTTTCATCCTAGAAGCTTGATAACGTCTACTCTTTCAATTTTTTACGTGTTTCAAGATTTGGGCATTACAAGATGGAACAACAGTGGTGATTGGAGGCAAAACAAACCGAGCCAAGGGTGAATTTCCAGAAGAGACCAATCAGTTGCTTGATCAGGTCCCTGAAATAGTAGAGTCAACTTCTTCTACACAATCTAACAATCTCAGTGGCTAGTTCTGCGGTGCTGCGTTCTTAGAAATTGAAAGAAACTACCGTTTTGCAATATTAGCTGGAGAAGAGACATTGGATGATCGAGTTAAGAGTATGACTCTTATGTGCTTGGCTTTTTGGCTTGCTCTTGCAATGTGATCTATCGAGGAAATTACTCAACATCCAGATTTGAGTTGTTTGACTGTGACATTGCTGCAGAATACAGGTACATATATACATATTTGTTCATACAAAAAACTTGACGAGGTAAAAGCACATGTTGAAGACAAATTATGTTTGTCTCAGATGTATTATTCTTCATGTAACACGAGTGAACGCAGCAAGTATTTTCTTGAGTCAAATATGTATTTGTTATTCAGGATGTTTTGAAAAAAAAAAAATTGATGCTAATTCACGCATTTTTGGGTTGGAGTTCTAAATGCATCTGATACTATGTATAGCTTTTTTAAGTGTAGTTTTGTATCCTCTGATTTTCACGAGAAAAACTGCCATTGATATAAAAAAAAATGTTACATTCAACATCGCTGTTTGTGGTGCAGACTTCTGCAACATCTCAATGCATATTTGAAACAATGTTAAATTGTTAGGATGAAAATGAATAGCTTGATTTTTAAGTCGAAATATATTCATACGAATAGATTTTTCTCCTAAAAAGGAGGATTTTGAGGGATAATATCGTATTTGAGATAGATACTAGTAAGAGAAGAAATACACGATCATCAGTTTTCTAGTTCTGTTTCAATCTTCTTCACTTTGTATTGAATGAAAGGGAATAAAATGCTATTTATGGTGTGGGTGGGGTGGTTTCATTTAGGTGACAAATTCATTAATGTAGTGTTTGTTAATGAGGAATTTAACTTTTGTCACATGTCTTTTACCTCGATGTTGTTAATAAATGACCAAATATATAAGCGCTTCAAACTTGAGCGACGATTACATTGAAATTATTTTGAAATTTCAGTAGTCATCACACTAATCACAATTGCCAAATTATAGATAAATAAATATTTGTGTTTTAATCAAATTTCATTCAAAAATCTATGTTGCTAGGCAACAACTATCATGGACTGCAGTGCGGCCCCCAAAGCTTCATGTCTCGGGGTAGCCTTCTCATTCTTAGACCGATGTGTCCGAAACAATGAGTACATAATACGTTTATAAATATAATGCTTGATAATACTTGTATATGATGATATTTTAGTGCATCTTTAGTAATATAGGCCAAATGCTCAAATGTTGATGAACTTGCCGTGCCATATCGGGAGAGGAGGACGCTTGGTGCGTGACTTGCTCACATTGTATTTCTTCTGTATATTGAAGTTGTTATGAAATTTAATTAAGTGTAATATCTTAAATTAATGATTATGAATTTATGAGAGACCAAAGTCTAGCTTATGTGGTAAGAACAAAATTTTATTAGATTAATGATCGATGTTCGAGGGGTAAATTTTTTTAAGGATATACTATTTTTCTTTGAAAATGTGTAAAAAGTAAGGAATACTTTCACCAAACAAAAATCAGAGCATGTTTGTCTAGGATTAAAATCCAATTTTAATTGAAAATATGGTCGTTATTGGGTCTCACTCGTCTAATAAAAGTCAACAATAACGGCTAATTTTTCAATTTTAATCCAATTTTAATCTCTACCGAACACGCCCCAAGTCCATTTTTGAGCCTATTTTAGGGATCTTCATGTAACACGAGTGAACGCACCAAGTATTTTCTCGAGTCAAATATGTATTTGTTATTCAGGATGTTTTGAAAAAAAAAAAATTGATGCTAATTCACGCATTTTGGGTTGGAGTTCTAAATGCATCTGATACTATGTATAGCTTTTTTTAAGTGTAGTTTTGTAACCTCTGATTTTCACGAGAAAAACTGCCATTGATATAAAAAAAAATGTTACATCCAACATCGCTGTTTGTGGTGCAGACTTCTGCAACATCTCAATGCATATTTGAAACAATGTTAAATTGTTAGGATGAAAATGAATAGCTTGATTTTTAAGTCAAAATATATTCATACGAAGAGATTTTTCTCCTAAAAAGGAGGATTTTGAGGAATAATATCGTATTTGAGATAGATACTAGTAATAGAAGAAATACACGATCATCAGTTTTCTAGTTCTGTTTCAATCTTCTTCACTTTGTATTGAATGAAAGGGAATAAAATGCTATTTATGGTGTGGGTGGGGCGGTTTCATTCAGGTGACAAATTCATTATTGTCGTGTTTGTTAATGAGGAATTTAACTTTTGTCACATGTCTTTTACCTCGATGTTGTTAATAAATGACCAAATATATAAGCGCTTCAAACATGAGCGACGATTACATTGAAATTATTTTGAAATTTCAGTAGTCATCACACTAATCACAATTGCCAAATTATAGATTAAATAAATATTTTTGTTTTAATCAAATTTCATTCAAAAATCTATGTTGCTAGGCAACAACTATCATGGACTGCAGTGTGGCCCCCAAAGCTTCATGTCTCGGGGTAGCCTTCTCATTCTTAGACCGATGTGTCCGAAACAATGAGTACATAACACGTTTATAAATATAATGCTTGATAATACTTGTATATGATGATATTTTTGTGCATCTTCAGTAATATAGGCCAAATGCTCAAATGTTGATGAACTTGCCGTGCCATATCGGGAGAGGAGGACGCTTGGTGCGTGACTTGCTCACATTGTATTTCTTTTGTATATTAAAGTTGTTTGAAATTTAATTAAGTGTAATATCTTAAATTAATGATTATGAATTTATAAGAGACCAAAGTCTAGCTTATGTGGTAAGAACAAAATTTTATTAGATTATTGATCGATGTTCGAGGGGTAAAATTTTTTAAGGATATACTATTTTTCTTTGAAAATGTGTAAAAAGTAAGGAATACTTTCACCAAACAAAAATCAGAGCATGTTTGCCCATGATTAAAATCCAATTTTAATTGAAAATATGGTCGTTATTGGGTCTCACTCGTCTAATAAAAGTCAACAATAACGATTAATTTTTCAATTTTAATTCAATTTTAATCTCTACCGAACACGCCCTCAATTTATGAATAATCTCATCCAAAGAAAAAAGAACAAATAGTGCACATACAATATACAAATAAATCGTGGCTCACGAGCGCCGCGAGGGATAAATTACGCACAAGACACACGATACCATATTCCGCCAAAACACAATTCTAACATTTCCTCTCAGTCGCACTCTTCACGCATCCAAGACCACGCATCGCACATGGCCATCTCTCTACAATTTTCTCGTCTCTCCACCGGACCGGACTTCTCGTTGCCGGAGACACGACTTTTCTGGTGGAGGAAACCTTGCTCCATTCGATGTTCCGTGGCAGGAGATGCTGCCTCCTCGTCCGCTACTGTGGAGTCGGATTTTGACGCCAAGGTGTTTCGGCACAACTTGACTAGGAGCAAGAATTACAATCGCAAAGGGTTTGGACACAAAAAGGAGACCCTTGAGCTCATGAACCGCGAGTACACAAGTATGTTTTGTGAACTTTTTTGCAAGTTGTGTACTTTTAAAACTGTTTTTGCCGTTTGGTGGAAAAGAGGATCGGTTGAATTTCGTTTATAGTTGATTTTTTTTCTCTGTTTGCTATAGGCAAATGGAAATTTTCTCTTTCCAGGAACAAATTTGTCGATTTTTATTTTATTTTCCTGAAGTTTTCTTGTTCGTAGTATTATTATTGAACTGGGAATTTACTTTTCACTTTGTCAACATAATATGTATACGTAATTACGTAGTGAGACATGCATTTGATTCATAGGTTATCTTAATCTCTTGCATTGTATGCATATTAGTTCAAGATTAACGGGCTCTACTCTACGTATCTATGTTCTGTCACACAATTAGTCAATTACTCTGCACGTACATCGTTCATACTTACAGATATGTGAGAATTTGCCCGGGTGCTACATAATTTTGTGATATTAATTTGATGCCTAACTTTTATTTTAAAGTCTTTATGTGCAGTTTTGAAGTTTCTCACAGCTTGGCATGTGTGATCTGATAGAAAAACATGAAAGGGATTATAGATTCAAATGCTTTAATCAAATCCTTTTCTCATATGAACTCTCAATAATACTCCATGTTGAAACAAGAGAAAATAACAAAAATACAAACATACCTTGATCCATGTTGTTTGATTGTTTGCCTGAATGGATTACGACCTTCCAATTGATTGATGATCTTCTCTTCAATTTCACTCTCTGTTGATGGGGATGCAGACAATATGAAGAACACTATCAAATGGAGACCATAACCATATAAAATAATGATAACTGAATAGTCATTATCTTTCAATTGTTTCAAATTGGCCCCCTCATCAATTTAAAACAAATTCCAGGTGACATTATAAAGAAATTGAAGGAGAATGGGTATGAGTACACCTGGGGAAATGTTACAGTAAAGCTTGCGGAAGCATATGGCTTTTGTTGGGGGGTCGAGCGGGCTGTCCAGATTGCTTATGAAGCAAGAAAACAATTCCCAACTGAGAAGATTTGGATCACCAATGAAATTATTCACAACCCCACTGTTAATCAGGTATCAATCTCTGCAGTCTTATCATTTATCTTTCATTCAAACTTCAACAATATCGGAAAGTAGATGATAGTCACAATCAGAGTTCAAAACGTTCGTTCATTTGTTCCTTTTATCAGTCTATTGGTTAATAGGCTGTTCAGTTACTTTTGTTTGGAGCGCTTAGGTTTGATCTGGATATACTCTTCTAATGTTATTGGCTTCAGGGTTTTATATTTATCTCCAGAAGCTTTATTTCTGAGTTGTCCTTTAAGTTTTTACACTCAGCTCTTGGTTATTTTAATTTCATGTTCTGGGTCTACGGAATATTGTAAGCAATTTCTATGTTTAAACTTCATTATTTGGATCTGACAAGTTATGCAATCAGTAGGATTGTGCCTGAGCTCACGGATACATGTGTATAATATCAATATGACGGTGATATGTACCTGTTTTATTGCTC